TGCGGGGGGGGGGGGGGGGGCGGCTCCCAGCTTCTCAGCCTGACCTGCTCTCTGGGATTCCTGGCACTCTCCCATCCCGCTCTGACCTGCTTAGCTTTCCTGGGGTCAGCCAAGGCTGGCCGGGAACTCCCTCCTGCTGCGGTGGGATCAGACTGGTTTCTGGCCCCGGCAGCAGTGCCCCCGGCATCCAGGCCAGGAAAGGCCTCCGCACCAAAATTCCCCACGGGCAGGGGGTGGCACACCAAGAGTCCTGGAAGTCTTCTTCTGCAGCCAGGCCTCAGGGGCTGGACCAGCCCGCCTGCCTGCCTGCCTGAGGCCCCTCCACCCTCGGCCAGAGCCCTGCCCCATCTGGCTGCTCCGAGGACTCGCTTCCCATCACAAGCACCGCCGTCTTGGTGGTTCCAGGGAGATGGGACCAGGATGGCGCTCATGGGCACCCCAAGAGGGGGAGACGCAATGGTGCGTGTCATACTGGGCAGATGCCACGAAGGACAAGATTTGCCTGATGACATCGGGACCGGGTCACCTGGGGCCATTGACGTCACGTCATGCACGCCACCACTGAACACAGCTGACGCAGCAGGAAATACAGCGTGTAGGGGGAGAAACAGACTGCGGAGAGGCCCGGCTGTTCTCTCCAGAGAAGACGGGGTGACGGCAGAGAAGAAAAGCGAAAGGGGGGTCCCTGCTGTTTTCAGAGGGTTGCTTGATAGGAGGGTCCTTAGTAAATTCTGAAGAGCTGCCTCTTACTCCCTGGTTGTTGGCAAGCCACATCCCATTTTCTTTCTCCCTGATCGTCTTTTTACGTCTCTTTCTTATTCCCCCCCCCTTTTTTTTTGAGAAAGCTCAAGATGCAAATAAAAGGGGGTGGTTGGGAATTGTTGCTGGGGGGCAGAGGCTTAAGACCTCACAGTGCCCGGGCCGGTTAACGGCCCAAGCGCCAGCCTCTGCCCCGCCCTGAGCTCTTCATCAGGGCACAGCCTGCTGCAGCCAGGCACTCTCCAGATGTATTCAGGGCCGAGGACGGGGCTCACCTCCGCTGGCCCCAAAGGGGACCACGGCCACACTCACCTGGATCTCGGAGGGGCGGTTCTTTTGTGCCTCCAGAGAGAGCTGGAGCCCACACAGCTGCCTGTCAAGCTGGCGCACCTCTTCCTCCTTGCGCCACTGGAGCTGGTCCATGCGCGCCTCCATGCGCACCAGCTCCTCCACCTTCTGTTGCAGGCTGGCCTCCAGCTGCAGCACTTTGCTGCGAAGGGCCTCGTTTTCCTGGAAGGAGCGCCGAGAATGACCTCGCGCCTGCACACATCGCTGCAGGCGGAAAGTGGTGCTCCCCTTTAGCGGCCCCTCGGGGAGGCCTAAGGGCTCTGTCCCCTTTGCACTGGGGGGCCAGATTCCAAGAAACCATGACCCACAGATGCCAGGGCCCCCTTTTCTGGCCAAACCAGCTCATTGCTTTATCCGATGGCATGGCAGGGAGCGTCCAGACCTGCCAACTGGCTCCTAACAGGCCCAGACGCAGGCGCTGTGGCAATGCTCCCTTGCACCAGCTGGACAAGTCTTCTGCCCAGCCCCCGTGGGGCACTTCTGCTCTTCCGAGGACTCTTCTCTGTGGAGTTGGCCTCGCCTTCCCCCAGTCACCTTCGGGGCACACAGAGTTAGGCATTTCCCTGCCCAGGAGGAGGAAAGCCCCTCTCGGGGACACGGGCCCCAGGCCCAGTGTGCGCACCCTGCGATGGCCCTGACAAGGCAGGGGGCAGGAGAAGGGGCTCACCTTGACCACAAGAGCAGAGGGCTGGGTGGACACGGCAGCCGCCTGCTGCAGAAGCCCCTGGGAGAGGCGCAGGCCCTGCTTCAGACCCTCGTTTTCCACGGTGAGGTTGTAGATCCGCTTCTCCGAGTCGGTCACGCCCTGGGGCCAAAGAGGAGTTCCCTTCACAGGCCTCAGCCAGCTCTTCTTGGGGAGCCAGGGAGAAACCCCATGATTGCCAGCCCCCCCTGGCTACAGCACCTCCAGGGAACCTGCTCATCCCCCTGCCCCACTTCCCTCCTGCCCCCTGCAAGCAGCGGGGGGCCAGCCTTCCTCACCGTGCCCAGGCGAAGCTGCTCCCGTTCTTCCTCCCGCGCTTGGATCTGCTGCTTCAGGCCCTCGATCTGCCAGAAAAGGAGCCCCAGGCCGTCATTCCCATCCTGCGGCTCCCGCCCAAGACAGCCATGGTGGGGAATTCCCCAGGGGCCCAATTCCGGGACACCCACGCCGACCCAGCCCCCAGCTCCCTCTTTGGCAAGGAGATAACCATCCAAAGGGCTGTTTGAAGATCTACCCCAGGAGATTCCACCACCAGGCCAGGTGATGGCACGATGGCGAGCGCTTGGCCAGCTGCACTATGACTCTACTCCAGGACCCATAGTGCACAGCCCCTTGAGGGTGTTGGGTTGCGGGCACCCAGCTTGGTCTCACCTGAAGATGGAAGCTCCTGGCCAGCTGCTGCTTCTCCCTCTCTCGTTCTTCCATTCGCTGCTGGAGACCCACCACCTCCTCTGCCAGGCGACTCCTCTCCCCCTGGAGGGCACTGACGGTCTCCACCAGCTGGTGCAGCCCCCCGGGGGCCACGGGACAGAGCAGGCCAGTGGATGGTGGCAGCTTCGTGCCTGGCCGGAGGAGAACGGTCACAGGGGAGATCCAGGAAGGGCGTGGCGAGCTGGGCAAGGGACGGCTTGCCTAGGGACCGAAGCTGAGCCTGGAACTTTGAGCTGCCTGGCGTGGACCATTAAATGTCTTTCCCTCCCAGGGCAGCGAGACTCAAGGCCATGGGGCTTCTGTGCCCATCTCCCCTGCCATATCTGGAGGAGGGTCAGGCCTCACCTCCTTGCATCTTCTCCAGAAGGCCCTGCTGCTCCAAGATGACGGCCTCCAGGCTCTCAATCACACTGAGCTTGTCCCTCACCCGCTGCTGGTAGGCCCTCTTCAGACCACGTAGCTGCCGGCGCCACTGGCTCTCCTCCTGGCGCAAACGTGAGCGGTATTCGCCGGCCTTCTCCTGAAGCTGCTGCATCTGGGTGTAGCGCTCCAGGAAGGAGAGCAGGTGCAACATCACCTGGATGAGCGGAGACTCCGGGGGCTGCATGGCAGGAGGTGGGGGTCCCGCGGCAGAGAGTGGCCAGAGGCCCAGGCCATGGGGGAACAGGAGAGAGCAGGGTTAGTGCAGGGCGGGCAGTAGCAGGCCTGCTCTCTCCCTGCCTCTGCGCCAACGTTGTGCGAACGCAGCCGAAAAGGGAAGGCGAGGCAGGAGAAGGGGGCCCCGGGTCCTTCTCCTCCTGCTGTTCCTGCAGGCTGTGGTTCTCCTGAGTCCACCCATCAAGCAGTGGATGGAGACCCAGAATGTCCCCCTCCTCAGGAGGTGCCTCCCCCCATCCCTCCAAGACCGGCACCACCTGGGGACCCCACACCTTTCCCCTTCTTTGGCAAGGGAGGAGGTGCGGCTGGGGTGTGGGGCACTTTCTCTTCCCAGCAAAGGGGGGAGTCGAGCCCAGGTCCC